GGTACTCATGTTTTACGTGACTAGTCTTTGGCATCGTTCGGCGCGGACTTCAAACGGTGCGCCGCGGATTCCTACGCACTACATTCCTTCAGCGGATCCACTGCTGTTGTGCGTCTCTCACACGACAGAGGGCAATGGCGGCCGGGACGGCTTCATGACGAGACGCCGATGTGTGGATGGAAACGTGTTCATGAAGAGCACTCTTTGCTGCATGCCAAAGGGTCGCCGGGCTGATCACCCGCGCCGTGGAACAACCAAGAACACATTGATGGACGGGTGGATTTTGGGCGGCGAAAATGGCACAGCCGCAGCACCAGCATCAGGAAGCGCCCACGTGCGGTGTCATGCGTGTTACCTTCTTTCTTTGGCGTTGGCGTGCTGCAGCCGAGGGGATACTTCTTCCGTTGCTCTCGACGACGCCTCCCGTCTGTCTTTGTCTGCTTGCTTCGGGGTCTTTATCCTTTCTTTCCTATGCTTCCCTATCTTTTCTTATCCAGTCTTCCCTTGAGAAAGGTGGGAAAACATGACTCAAACGTGTGACACGAAGCCACTCTCAAACAAGCTGATCACGCCAAACTACTGGTAGGCTGCTGCAAGTGTCAATCTAAGGCCGGATTTCCTCGCTGCTTGTGTGTGGCGTTGGCAGGCATATCCCCACCACTGCTATCATGGCTTAAACAACAAACGCCACAACACACGAGCAAGACATGACACAAATCCTGGATCCTGCAGTTCAGTCCCTGAATCGCCCACAGACTCGAGAATGAATTTCACTTGTGCTATATGTTGACGTTTCTTCATCCGTCGGACGGCTCCATACATATCGTGGTGGATGCTGATGAAACACACTCACACACAATCCTAGCAAAAAAAAAAAAAAAACGTTCCACCCCCCCCTCCTCCCTCCCTCCCCCGTTGCCTCTACGATTGCGGCAGACCACCTGCATGTGTACAGTACCCAGAGAGATAAAAAAAAAACGCAAAGGAATCAGCAGAAAGCAACAGGGGCGGCAGCATAGACGTAGACACCGTAGGCACCTGACACCGGAGCGCGACGAGATATCGGAGCTTGCTGACGGCCTTCATGCTAACCCTGCATTCCAGGGCGAGCTGTTCCGGGTCTCGAGAGAGCAGGGACTCCGCTGTTTTCCGAAAGCGGGAGGCCGTGCCGTGTTAATTGTTGAGGTTTTTTCCGTCCCGTAACTGACGGAAATCCGCAAAAGCAGCAAGAACATGTTCGAGCGACCGTTTCGGACGAAGACGGGAAATACTCGTGGAGTTCGTTTGAATACTTGTCAAGTGAGGTAGGCGCGGCGGTAGGTGGTCAAGCGAGGTTGGATGTGCCAATGGACGGCTGTCTCCCTACGTAGTACGGGATGAATTGAGCGTGGTGAAGGAGCTTGTCGGTGCAGTTTGTCGCTCTATAAGATTACACCACCTGTAGTACTCCTAAACCTCAAGACACAGTTACCTGCGTGAGGTATCTGTGCCTATGGGCGAGCAAAGAGACAAGCTCCTCCTATGCATGTAGGCACGTGACATGTCTCTAGCGGTGCCTGATGATGACAATTGAACTAACCAATTTGTGTTCTTCTCTCTTAACTGGTGCTCGCGGTGTTGTACTTACCTAAAACGATCGGGACAGGGAGGGACGCGAGGACTCCGAGCGTGCGCTCGTCCAGCCCCATGCGATCCAGCCGTGGCATTGCTCTGTCTCAACCCAGCAAGCCCTCCCCTCCTTGAGTCCAACAGCGCTCCCGCCAGTCTCCCGTCCTCCACTTCCTGACTCCGACAGCCCTAACTCACCAGTCTCCTACATAGATGATAGTGTCAAGGGGGGGTGGTAACGCCCACCTTTCGTTGGTGGTCTCCGGGTTGTCTCTCTTAGGCAATACCGAAAGGCGAGATGTGAAGGGCCACAGTTTTGGGAATGCAGACCGTTGACGCTGTAGCAACATTTCACCTCTGGTCCGCCATGTGTGGCTTTGTTGCAATGGTCTACTACTGTGTAGATACCACCATGATTTTCTCTTTCGCCCTCTCTCCCCAGCAACCAGGTTACCGGGTTTTTTTTTTCCTCTTTTTTTTTTTTGCGTTAGCCATAATGGTGGTCGAGTAGATCATGTTGTGCCGGGTGGAGAACCCTCACTCCGCGCTAGGGGGATGATCGCACCACGTTGTGTTAAAATGGTCAAGCACCCTCGAGGCAGTTACACAGTGCTTACAACTGTCTCTGGAAGTGAAAGCACCAGAAAATAAAATAAGTCATACGCAGCTGTCATCCGTACGCAAGGAAGTAAGCACA